CGTGCCATGGCACCAGCCTCTCGCCATGCAGCTTGTGGCTCCTCTGGCCCAGACTGCTGCCCCAGCAGCCTCCTGCTGCCCGCCGTGCAGCTGCATGGTTCTGTGTAAAATTATTTTCTGCACACTCACAAATGCGCAGTTTAGAGGGAACCCTGGTCCAGGGCCAAAGCCTGAGCCCCACTAGTTGGGGCTTCAGCCTTGGTTAGTGAGACTTAGGTTACAGCCCCCCCTCCCCCACTTAGGAAGGTAGAACTTGGGCTTTGGCCAGCCTCCTGCTGCCCGCCGTGCAGCTGCATGGTTCTGTGTAAAATTATTTTCTGCACACTCACAAATGCGCAGTTTAGAGGGAACCCTGGTCCAGGGCCAAAGCCTGAGCCCCACTAGTTGGGGCTTCAGCCTTGGTTAGTGAGACTTAGGTTACAGCCCCCCCTCCCCCACTTAGGAAGGTAGAACTTGGGCTTTGGCCCACTCAACCCCCACAATGGCCAGTGGGGCTTGGGCAGACTCAGACTTCAGTTCCTGGTTGTGCAGTAATTTTTGTTGTGAGAAGGGAGTTGCATTGCCATGAAGTTTGAGGAAACCCTGCCCTAAAGCACCAGAGATGGTCACAGTTGGAAATGAGAAGTGGATGTGATAGGCCACATCTCTGTTTATAGTACAGAGCATATTCATTCTCTCTCTCTCTCTCTCTCTTTGGTACTTGGCTGGCTGGTCCTTGCTCAGGGTCTAGCTGATGGCCAGACGTGGAGTGTGAATTCCCCTGGGTATTATTGACAGTGACCTGAGTATGTGGGTTGGGTTTTTCCCTTATCTGCTGCACTGAGTGCAGGTCACTTGCTGTGATTGTCTAAATATATCTCATTTAATCAATTCCCTACTAATCCAGGGGATGTGGTGCCTAAGGCCCTTTTATTCTGTGCATGTGGTGTATAAACTTCAGGCTTCTGTAGACTCTAATACTTTGGTCTAATTTTGGTTGTTGGCACCAGGTGATATTGGCTTCCTGTGATATACAGAAGGTCAGATTAGATCAGGGATGGGCAATAATTTTTGATGGGGGGGGGCACTCCCAAGAATTCAGCAAGTGGTCAAGGGCCATATTTTTCTCTTACATTAATGGAGGGATTGTGGGGTCTGGGATGGACTTTGGGGCAGAAGGGAACTCTGGGTAAGGGATTGGGGTGTGGCAGGCAGTGTGGGTTCTGAGAGGGGGTTGGACTTGAGAAGGGGTTTTAATATGGGTCAGGGTGCAGGAGAGGACTCGGGGAGAGAGTTTAGGTGCAGGAGAGGTTATGACCTGGGGTGGAGTATTGGGGTATGTGAGGGGGAGCCAGGTGCAGGCTCAGTCCAGGAGGCACTTACAATAGTCAGTCCCTGGATGGCAGCCCAGTGGGACCCTTGGAAGGCTCCCTGGCTACCATGGTTTCACACTTTGCTCAAAGCAGCTAGCTGCTGGGACCAGCATGTGTTTCTCTGTGCAATGCACCCCATGTGGAGAGGGCGGCAGTGCTGCATGCACCCACAAGCATTGCCCTTGCAGCTCCTTTGGGCCTAGAGGCTGCTGGGGATGGGGACAGGGCAGGACACCCTTCTGCCCCCAAGAGGCACGCTGCGCAGAGATGCACAGACTGCATCTAGCATCCAGCCACTTTGAGCAAGCTCCCTGGCTGTGGCAGGCAAGGAGTCTGCTCAACGATCCCACTGGGCTATGTCAGGACAGATCCAAATGTTTGGCCATATTTTCCCGCCCCTGGGGCTAGATGATCTGGTTGTCCCTTTTGGCATCAATCTTTGTGACTCTAAGCTCTTTTCAAAGTTGGGTAAACCTTGTTAACTGTTTCTGTGCTCTTGATTGGAAAAAATCTCATTTTAACCAATCAGATTCAGGCACTCAATTCCAGTTGAAAATCAGAGAGAGTTAGCACGTCTTCACTAGCCCCCTTGTTCGAACTAGGGAGGCTAATCAGGGCGACCGAAATTGCAAATGAAACGCGAGATTTAAATATCCCGGGCTTCATTAGGATGTTCCCAGCCAGTTGCCATTTTGGAAACTGAGTAGCCGTGAATAACTGCCTGCATCTACAGGCGGCAGTGAAACGGGAATTCGAAGTTCCCCATAGCTGTGCACCAGGTTTGGGGCCGTGCCACATGGCATCTGGGGGGGAGGGCACAAATTTTTCCTTTGCCCCTGGGCGCATAACATCCTCGCTACGCCTCTGGTGACACATCCAAACAAGCCACATGAACTCAGTACAGGTGCACAACACAAAATCCATTCTGCTCACGGGAGGAAACTCTTAGGCTATGTCTATACTAGCAGCTTCTTGCGCAAAAATACATCCACACTGCCATGTGCGAGCTGTGCTATTGCGCAAGAGCATCCGTGGCAGTGTGGACGCTCTTTTGATCAAGAAAGCTCCATTGGCCATTTTAGCCATAGGGGTTTCTTGCGCAAGAAATCCCTGCTGAGCATCCACACCGCCCTCTTGCGCAAGAGAGCTTACATCTGTTAGAAAAGAGTGTAGCTCTTGCGCAAGACACCCTCTCTTACCACGCCTTACTGTAAATTTCCTTGTGCAAGAGCAGGCGGGCAGTGTAGCTGCTCTGTGGGTTCTTGCGCAAGAAAGGCTGTACTTGCATGAGAAGCCGCTAGTGTAGATATAGCCTTAGAGGGAACACTTCCCCCAGCCTCTCTGCCCCGAGTTAATGTCACACACGTTGGGTTAATGCAATTGCAGGATAGTTGCACGAGGGGGTGTTTGGTGGGGGCCAAACTAATCCCTGTTGGTAGGAGGATGGTGGGAAAAGTCCTTTGAGGGGGTGACATGACCCCTTTTACTTCTGGTTATGTGTCCATCTTGCCCCAAGCGTGTTGCCTCCAGAGACCTGGCTCATGCAGGCCAGGGGGTGTGGCTAATGGGGCACCACGAAAAATTATACAAATCTACTGGCCCCGGAGGAGGAGTGCATTGGCAGCCTGCGCCACAGGTGGTGTGAGTTTAGCGCAGGGTATGTGTGTGTGTGTGTGTCTGATGGCGAGGGATTTTTTTTGTGCTGTGTGGGTTTTTTGCTCAACCAAAATTGCTGTGGGGCCCCATTGAAATTGTTCGAATTGGGTCCCGCACTTCGTAAAGCCGGCCCTGAGAATCGTAGTGTAGACATATCCTTAAGAAAAATTAAAGAGTTCAAAACTAAAGACAGGGCTGAGAACCCCTGCTCTACATTTTTTTTTCTTTCTGAGGTTCCCTTCCCCCCCTTCCATATCCCCATAGCATGCTATAAAAACTCCATGTCAAATTGATTTTTCTGCATATAAAAGGCAGGGCCAGTGTTAGGGGGGAGCAAGCAGAGCAATTGCCTGGGACTTAAGTCATAGGGGGCCCTGCAAAGCTCAGTTGCTGAGGCTTTGGCTTCAACCCTGGATGGTGGTGCTTTGATCCAGGGGCTTCAGCTTTCTGCCCTCGGCCCCAGGCAGTCTAATGCCAGCCCTGCTGGGCAGATCCCCTAAAACCTGCTTGCAGCCCCTGGAAGACCCCAGGCCTGTGGTTGAGACTGGTTCCCATTCCCAGCATGTGTGCATTTCTATATAAAATCACACACTGGAAGATCCGGTGTGCCATAGGAAATTGACTTTCAATCAGAATAACAATAACTTGGCTTACTGGACATAAGAGGTGCAGTGTCGCTGGCTCTGCTCGGTCTGGCTGGAGCAGCCCCCAATCTGTGCTGTGCCGAGGGGCTGCCCCAGCCAGCTGGGTCCATTACGTCCTGCCCACAGGATCCAAGCCGGTTAAATGTAGTATGTTTAACCAGTTAACTGATTAAACTAGATTTTGCATCCCTCGTTCACATAGTGGTATTTCAGGATGGGATAGTTAGTCTCTAACTCTTTGATATGGCTGCATCATATTTAAGCAACTATGTCCAGGCTGCTGCTTTGTCCAGAAGTCACCACAGGAGTTCACACCTGAGATAGTTGGAAGAAATTTTGTCAGACAGTTTACAAATTCTCATAGTTTCTGAACTGATTTAATATCTTGAGGTATAGTCACCTGCTGCATTAGGGAGCCAGGTTGTAGCCCTTGGGAGGTTAGCAAGTGTCCCATATCTAGTAGTCACACAATCACAATTCCATCTTACTTGTATTTCATTTTAGATTTATTTGCCTGGCTTTTTCTAGTAGACAGGTGAAGTCAGGGTTATGGTCTCCCACAGCCTCTGCCTTGTGTCCCCACGTCCATATACCAGAATATCATCAGATATCACTGCCAGTGATATCACTGGTCTCTGCCAGTATGTCTTGCCTGTAATGCAGAATTATTCTTGTTTCAGATTGGATCTGTATCTTTTCCTTCTTTCCTTTTTCCCACTCCCCTATTCCTTACCTCTCTCTAACTTTAATATAAAACTAAAAGCAAATATAGTAAAAAAATATGTAACAAACAAAGCTTTCCCAGTCCTTCATCATTTGTGTATGTGTTTATAGCCTGATCCTCCACTCTTTAATTCAGTGGGACTGTTCATTTATACAGGTATTTGGAGGATGAGATGATGCCAGTAACAGAATGAAAGAGAAAAAAATCAAACACAAATAGAAATGAAGTGAGAAAATGTACAAACAAATGTGTTTGGCTGTGTTTTATGACTCTATTCTCCCTAGCATTAAGCAGCTTGACAGATACGGTCAGCTGATCCTTGAAAATTCTACAGCAGCAGATACTGGTGAATATAGCTGCTGGCATCTTTTGTGTAATGGTGATAGCTGCAAGAAGGATGAGTCTAAAACTGGCTCAACGTACATCTTTTTCACAGGTAATTGATTACTTTGGTTTATAAACTGAAATGTCTGGGTTGTCTTGCCATAAGGCAGGATTATCGTATTCATTTCCATTTTCCTATTCATATCCATTTCACTCTCTGTCTCTAGGCATTGTATCCTTAAATATCCACTAGAACATTACTGGTGCAGTGAGCAGGAAATTGAGCAAATAATTAACAATAATGTTGTTTGTGTTCTGATTTCCTGTGCTGTACTCTAAATATATACCCCAAATCCTGTCTAAGAAAGCAGAAAGTGGTTAGTTTGCAAAAAATTGAGATTCAGTATTCTAATTTTAGAATCTACAATAAAATTTAGATGTACCAAACAACCAACTCCAGAGAGAGTCCATACCTCTTACTTTATTTTCTTCTACACAAGTTTATTTCAGAAGGAAATAAAATAACATATTAAAGATGTTACGTGTTGGGTAATTGACTAATCGAATAGTCGATGCAAAATGCATCGACTATTCGATTAGTCAATTACCCAACACGTAACATCTTTAATATGTTATTTTATTTCCTTCTGAAATAAACTTGTGTAGAAGAAAATAAAGTAAGAGACCACCTCAGCACTGGGGCTGTTGCTACATTTCAAAGGCTAAAGTGCCGCATGGAACCCAGGCTCATCTGGGGACTCCCCCATTGACTCCGGGCTCCATGCGGTGCTGCTACTTTGAAATGCTGCAAGGAGCCTGATGTCTGGTTTCCTGTGGCATTTCAAAGCGGCAGTGCAGCATGGAGCCCGGAGTCAGCTGGTGGCTCCCCACGGCACTACCACTTTGAAATGCTGCGAGGAGCCTGACACCGGGCACCCAGCTACATTTCAAAGCAAGAGCACCGTACAGAGCCTGGGGTCAGCTGGGGAGTCCCTGGGTCATCCCGGGCTCCATGCAGCGTTGTCACTTTGAAATGCCACGTGCAGCCTGGGGACACTCCAGCTTGCCCCAGGCTGCACTTGATGTTTCAAAGTGGCAGCGCTGCGGGAAGCCTGGGGTCTGCCCCAGGTTTCAATAGCTTCCCTACATGTCATTCTAGTACAAATATGCTTCTCACGCTCCCCCCCCCCCCCCACACACACACATTTATGGGATGAAATCCTGACCCACTGAAGTCAGGATTTCACCTAAGTTTTTTGCATCTCGCACATTAGTTTTATAAGATAAAGAACCACTAGAAGTTGAGCCGCTCTTGTCCAACACTCTGTGGTCCAGCAACATCTGTGGTCTGGCCCTTAGCTTAAATTTCCCATGGTCCCATAAAGTTTGTTTAGAGCCACAGGTTCTGGCTCTCAGTGTTCTATGCTATTATTTAGCTCTAATTTACCCCAAATATCTTGTAAAAGTCCAGTAAGCAGTGGAAGTGTTGGTACTGTTGCTGGACAATATTGACCTCCGTGGTCCAGCAAATTCTCTGGTTTGGCACCAGTCAGGTCCTGTGGGTGCCAGGTTAGATAGGTTCAACATGTAATATAAGTATATGTATTAATCCACAAACCTTGAATTTGATCACTGCCCTAATTCTTAGATATTAATGGTTTTTATGTAAGTCAAATGGCAGTTCAGTATTATTACCTAGTATACTATTGGTGGTTAAAGCAAATGGTTAATTTGTTCTCCTAGTGGAAAACATTAGGAATGATGTAAAATAAACATTGCTCAGCCTGATTAGAGCTAAAACATTCCTGGCTGGCGCATGCTTCAGTGTTACAGCATAAGATGACTAAGATAAGATTGTTTGTAATAAGGTTCAGAAATACATTGGAGCCTTGGGATTATGGAAGCAATTTATCGAAACAACCTTGGAACTCTGACTTCTCTTTTCAAACGGTTGAAATAATCAGATGAGACACCTTGCAACACATAGTGTTCAGGCCAAAAATATTAAGGAGTTTAAAATTGCATTTGTAAGCAACATGTCAGCCTATTAGAATACTCCTTGTTTTTGGTGACCTAAAAGCACTAATATGTTTGAATTTTTCTTTTACTTAAGAGTTTAAAAACAATTGAGTATTTCACAATCTACACACTTACATATTTTCAAGGCAATACAAAATCAGATACTATCAGAAGCCATAGTAAAAATCATGGTGTTTTTCTGCTTTCTCTTTTGAAAAAGGGTCAGCGAATTTAAGTAGGACCTGATACGTCTTTAGGTTTTTTATGTGTTAGGTCTGCATTATTTCAAAAAAGCTGATTCCCAAAATTGGTGGCTATTATTATTATTATTATTTATTAAAGATATAACCCTTCATTTTATGAGACAGGCAAATAGGCTCTACATTAATTTGTTTTTAAATGTAGTGATAAAAGCCAAACTATACATACTATAGTTCCAGTAACCATGCAGCACACCTCCCTGATAATCATTCAGGAACCTATCCTTGCAATCAGTCCCGGTGCCAACTCTGTCTACACATCTACACAAGCGATTTTATCTCTGGATCCAACCACCTCAGCCATCACTTCGGAGACTCCACTAATGTGATCTGTGCCATCAAATTCTAGCAATAGCCCTCTACTATGTATATTGGCCAGACTGGACAATCTCTATGAGAGAGAATTAATGGACACATCAGATATCTGAAAAGGAAACACACAGAAACCTGTTGGAGAACACTTTAACCTGCCTGGGCACTCATTAATAGATTTCAAAGTCACTCTGTTGTTTCAGGCCAATTCCACAAGCCAAATACACAGGGAAGCCTAAGAACTTAACTTCATTTACAGGTTTGGGCCCTATCACAAAGGTATGAATAAAGACATTACCTGGCTAGCACACTACCTTCCACAGCCTAATGACTTAAGAAAGCAAACAATGGGTACTTAGAGAAGGTGCATGTTGTTCTTGTCAGCTTCATGTAACTGGACCTTTAATACTCCATTCATTGGAAGAAGTGGATTGTGCCCACGAAAGCTCATGATACCATCTACGTGTTTTGTTAGTCTTTAAGGTGCTGTTAAACTATTCATTGTTTTTAATTTTTTCCAGTTATAGACTAACTTGGCTACCCTTCTGAAGCTTTTATACGTAGTTTGTCCAAGTCAGACAAACTTTAACTTTTTATAAAAAAAAAAAAAAAAAAACTTGTGGTGACAGATTTAATTAATTGTAAAGAATGTTAAAGTGATTTGTTACGAGATATTTTGGACACAGAAATACTGCCAATGCAATATCTGAACTTAATCAAATTAGTAAATATCTCCTCCTCATGTTCATTTTTATAGATTAGAAGACTGTATTTATATTTTTCTCATATGAAATTGATATACATTCCAAGCTAAATATTATATTGCATTACTTTCTCATCTAGATAAAGGGGAGCTCTTTGTGCCTACTTCCAGTTATTTCGAGATTGTCTACCTGAACCCAGATAAACCAGCAGTAATCCCTTGCAGAGTGACCATCCCATCAGCAAAAGTAACTCTGCACAGAGAGTTTCCAGCAGAAGAAATCAAAACAGATGGATCTAGTATTATATATGATGCAAAGAAGGGCTTTATCTATAAACACCCCACCTCGGACCACAAAGGGGTAGTTTACTGTAAAGCAGAATCACGGGGAGCATCTCAGATTTCCATCAAGTATCAACTACTGTATGTGGAAGGTGAGATGAATTACTTTTATAGATTTACATTCAAATCCCTTTCTCTTGCTGGAGTTGCTTATGGGGCAAGATTTCAAATGTGTATTTGGAAAAAAAATCAACTGTAATTGTAATTATAGTATTTTGAATATTCCAATGTTTTAAATGAACATGTATTTTTCAAATCAAGTCAAATTTGTCTGTAGAACGTGCCAGAATTTATGCTACTGTAGAGAAAGCACAAGATTTAATACATTTAAAAAGTAGGTGTACACTGGTAAACCATTTTATTATGACTATATAGGATCTCAAGATGCATAATAAATTCCAACAGCATGTTGGATCTAAAGAAGATGATGGAGGATGTGGAAAAGCCCAGAAAAATCAAAGCAAAACTTGTTCACAAATAGTTTTTTTTGTTACTGATGTTTTTTAATTGATCTTGCAACTTATTCCTGCCTCCTACCCACACTTTTTCATTCAGTTCCTAGTGGTCCACCATCAACAACAATTGTGGCATCATCCAACAAAGCAGGAGGTGGTGACAATGTTAATGTTCTCTGCATAGTCCTTGGGGAACCAGACGTAGAAGTAGAATTCATTTGGAAGTACCCAGGGGAAGAGGTAAGACACACAATTCTAACTTGAAGGTGCATTTTTTTTCTTAGAGTAAACTCACATAATATAGCATTTTAAATGCCAGTCAGTATTTTGTAGCTGGGGAAGGCCAGGGCAATCAGAGTGCATTGTCCAGCTCTCTGGTATCAGGTCACATTGGGAAGAAGCAACATACTACTTGACAGGGATGTAAAACAATCATTAAAAAATGTAACCAAACTACTAAAAATCACAGCGGTTGCATGTGTTGCAGGGTCTGCAGTATAAAGCTTTATACTTCAGAGCCCACAGCATAGTATCCCTGCGAGCACGGTGGGCAAACTCTGCCAGCCTTGCTCCCAGGGAGGCGTCATTGTAGACTCTGCAGCTGCTTCCCCAGAAGCGGGCTGGCAGGGGTTGCAGGAGTAGGGGCTGGTAGTGCCTTCTGGCCCAGCTCCCGGTGAGACAGCGTGTAATCTGCGGCAGGGGAGAAAAGCTAAGCAGCCCTTTCACGGACAGGGGCTGCTCCAGCCAGCCAGCTGAGGCAGCCCCTCCCTGTTGCAGGGGGGCCAGAGCAGCCCCTGGCTCTGCTGGGTCCCAAGGGGCTGGAGCAGCCACCTGTCTATAAACTGTACTGGTGCCTCACTGACACAATCAGTGTGTGATGAATTTAAGCTTCTATAAGGAAAAATAGACGTCCATTATATCTCTGAAGAAAACATTCTAAATATAAGCAGCTCCAGTGCTAGGCATAGTTTGCAGAGTGACATATACATGAATGTATCACTCTTGCTGTATATGGACAGTTGTATCCATCCATCTAATGCAACAAAATGCTTGGCTTACAGCAGTTTACCTGGAACAGAAAGGGAACAGACCTGTCATTTTTCTGCCCAGTCAGAATGAATATTATGTGTGTGTCTCAGTAGCTCTGTGATTTAGTTTAAATTTTTTATACTTAGGCTACATCTAGATTGCAAGCCTTTTTTTGAAAGATACTTTCGAAAAAGTCTCTTTAGAAAAACAACATCTAGACTACAATCAGTACTTTCAAAAAAGCAAGCTGCTTTCTTGAAAGAGAGCACCCAGGCAATCTCTTTTATGGAGCAGCCCCTGTCTGCAGCAGACCTAGATGCCCTGCAGGCAAGGACTGCTCTGGCAGCAGGAAACCCCAGGTCTGAGTGGACTGGGGCAGGAAGCCAGGAGCCTTCAGTGCCAGCTCCAGCCCTGCTGTGCCCTCCCTTGCCCTAGTGCCTTTTGGGGCCCTGCTGGGTGTGGAGGTGGGCTGGGGTGTGTATGTGCGAGGGAGATGGGGATATGAGATCTGGGCATCAGAGGGCTGGGGAGCACTGCCTCCCAATGCTCCCATTGACTGCAATTTGGCAAATGGGAGGCAGCGGGGAAAGCCTCCAGGCAGTTTGTCCATGCTCTGTAGTTCCACTGCAGGCTTTCTCTTCCCACCAGCAGGAAAATGGCACTGACGTCACAGCCTCCGGGGTGGTGGGAGCATGAGTGGTACTCAAACCCACAATCCCAGGCTCTGGAGGTCTGTTGGGTGAACCTAGTATTTAACTGATTAACTGGGCTTTTAAGTTCCTAATACCAAGTCTAAAACATGATTCTCCAAAATAGCTATTGTATCTGTTCACACAGGCATGGAAAAAGCATTAACATAAGCGGGCTACAATGACATCTGACTTGCATAAACATGGCTATTTTCCTAGTTCATGGATAGGGCCAAAGTTGTTATAATGGATCACCCAAATACAGAAAACCTCCGATAACACGGCACCTTTAGGACCCAGGGGGTGCTAGATTATCAGATATGCCAGGCCATTGGAAGGAGGGGGCTATGAGGGGTGTGAGGTGGGGTGGGAGAGATGAGGGGGGAGGCGCTGCAGGACCAACCTGGCAGCACCCCAGATGCTCTGCCCCAGGCGTCCCTAAGTCAGCCACTGCTGAAACTGACCAGTGGCTGACTTGGAGAAGCCCAGGGCAGAGCAGCTGGTGTGCTGGGTTGGTCCCATAGCGCTGCCCCTCGGCACTGCGGGACCAACCCAGCAGCACCCCAGCTGCTCTATCCCAGACTTCCCCCAAGTCAGCTGCTGCTGAAACTGACCAGCTGCTGACTCGGGGAAGCCTGTGGCAAAGCAGCTCCAATTGTCCAGCTGCTTGGAGCACTTCCGGGTTCCAGGTGGTGCCAGACTATCAGGAGTGCCGGACTACTGGATGCCGGCCAACTGGAATTTTACTGTAGTTCAAACCCCTGAACATGGCAATTTCAGAATGAAGGTTTTCCTATCCTTATTGGGCATAAATGGCTGTGTTAACACTGAACATGAAGGAATGTATGCAGAAGGAGAACATGCAGTTTAGTTGTGATTTCAAGAGGGGGGCAAGATTACATTCAAAGCAAATTTAAAACAGGAATTTTCAAATGGAAAAGCTGAGATGAATACAGAAGTAGTGATCCACCATGCCTGAAGACAGCTAGACACCCTTAACTTCCTTGCTGAATCTGGCTTTCAGACCAGACCTGCATGTCTTGTTTAGGGCTTTGAAATGAAATATGATTTATTTAGTGACAGTATATTCTTAACAGTGTGTGCAGAATTATACATCTTCATTTCCTTATGTGGGTGTTTTTAAAACAGTATGAAAGGCCTGTGATTATCCAAGATTCTTGGCGGCTGATCAACAGAGGAATTGGGCATACCACAAGAATCTCCAAGAGTGTTATTTCTATTGACGATTTCGAAACCATTGATGCTGGCAACTATATTTGTACAGCTCAGAACCTACAAGGACAAACCACAGTAGCCGCCCATGTTGAACTGACCTGATATGTGAAGCCTGTGGACACAGAATGAACAAACAGTATGTTGTTGCACACATTGACGCTTTCGTTTCTTTTTATTAATTCTGAGGTGGAGGTTTCTGTTTAATCTCTCTCCTCATATTCACACATTCTACTTTCATTATAGAGCAGTGATCCAGAACAGAGATCCTAATGCTTAGCAATATTCGAGACAGCTGGGTGGATATCCACTTTTTTTTTTTACTTTTTGTAACCTCAATATGCATGTGGCTCGCAAGTGCTCCTAATACAACGATAAATCTTTAGCAGGGTACTACAAATAATATCTTGTAAAAATGTTAATTGTGCTTTATTTTCATGAATGCTAAGAGGAAGATATATAACAACTTCAGGTGGACCCACCACCATATATATATTTTCTTCTTTGCCATGGTGGTAACTTTAACATATTGTATATGTAAAAAACATTATTTAGCTATGATTCTCTTGTTTTAGAAAATTAGTCAACAGTGATTACTCTTCCATTTTGATACTTTGATTAAATTTCTTTTACTGAAGATTTAACAAGTTGTACAAGTGTGTGCTTTCACCATTTACTCTCATACCTGAGAGATGGTTAGGTTTGAGTACATAACTTTTGTTGTAGCACTGAACATTAAGGGAGGTACTTCAAAAAAATATAATTAAAAGGTGTAAAATTGCATTTTTCTATTTCCAGTTCTACTTGCTCTTGCCTTAACATAGTTAATTGTAAAATGCCCTGATTTACAGTACTGAATGATTGAGAAAAGATCCTGTATCAGCCAAGTAGGAAACTACAGTACCTGACTGTATTTAGTGAATTTACTCCAGTCTTAGTATAAATACTGTATTCAGGTGTTTCATTTACACTTTCTAAGCTTAGGTGATCCTGGAGCCTCTGACTGCCAGGAAACAGCTGTTTTGTGGCAGCAGGTGGTGCTGGGATGAAGGGGGAGGAGCAGATCAGCTGGGCTGCCAGTGAATGGGAAGCACTCAGGAGAGGGAGGCAGAGGGGGAGTTTGGTTGCAGGTGGGTGCTGAGCACCTGCTAACTTTCCATGTGTGTGCTCCAGTCCTGGAGCACCCACCCACAGCATGGGCACCTGGGAGTGCTTTGCTTTCCCTCAATTAATGAATGGCAGGAAGGAAACCCTCAACTGCCTGAAGAAGGGCTTTGTGGGAACTCTGAAGCATGTCTTTTTTTTTTTTTTTTTTTACCAACAGAAGTTGGTGCCACCTTGTCTCTCTAGTAACACTTATGGACTCTGCAATCTTGGGAGACTAGTCATAGCTGTAAAACTGACATTAATATTCCAAATGGTGTACCATTTAAATAGAAACATAGAACCATTCCACTCAATTCACCATCTCAAGAATTCATAAGGAATAACTACCCAAGAGACACTGATTGAGAAAATACAAGATGCAGCATCATCTAATCAGAAATGCTAGATTGTAATTGTCCTTTAGATGAGCTAGTAACATAATAGTCTTAATTAAATGCAGCCCCTACCCCAGAGGAAGGGAGATGTTTTATCAGATGGGCAAGGGAAAGACCTCCTGCTGTCTTGAACCCTTCTGTGCATGTCTCTCAGAACTCCTGGAGTTCACGGCCAGGTGAGCAAAGGAAAATCATCTGGCTCTGTGCCATAGGAGCAAGGCTGTGTGGATGGAAGTAGAGTTGATTGGCTTTTGTAAACCTGCCCATTGTGTATGAAGCGCTCAGGGTGGCAGCAGCTGTGCTACTGTAAGTGGTGGCCCATGAGTCCATCCTTCCCTACAGTGAACACATAGGTTGAGCAATGTTCTGTAACTGATGTGGGAAGGGAAAGGTTGAGCCATTTTTGGCATCAGGAAATAATTTTTCCCACAGGAAGACACCTAGTGGGTTCCCCTCCCCACCACTTGCTTTGAGGTCTGTATTTAGGTTAAGGATCTGTAACCAGATTTACCAGCTGTACCTATGCTTGTAATTTCATTGCCACTTGCTGCCTGTGCCCAGAATGGCTGAAAGGCTCTAAAGAGCAAGCTCCAACAGGTAACTGTGAGTCCTGGAAGATGGCTGATGGACATTATCATCTTGGAAGAAAAACAGAAGAGCCTCAATCTGCAAAGATCCAAGGTAGGTCTTCGTTGCAAGCTTAGGCTATGCTTACCTGCTGTGTAAACATACTTGTGCCAGCTCTCAGAAGTAGCATGCAAAAATGTTAGCCTAGGTATGATAGCATAGGCTTGCTATCCTAAATACATAATTACAGTATCCAAGTGAGTTAGGCTCAGAACAGCTAACACCTACTGCTCTTGCCCATATGACATTACTGTTTCGGTAGCTCATGAGAGCAATGGCGTATAAGTGTACACTGGCCTTCCTGGGTACCCTCATGTCCTTTTGTGCACAGAGGGCAAGAGAAAACTCAGAGGTGGGCTGAATCCTAGGGGTTAGACCTGAATACTGGTTATGTGGCACGGAGAATATGAATGATTGCATTGCACCTCTATACATCAATTTCTTGTGGGTGTGGGAATGAGGTAAACTTTCATGTTATGTTTAAAAATGAATCCCCGTCTTCATTTCTCCTCCCTGTTCTGATCAATAAAAAATCCTGTACATTTTCTTCAGATGACCTGTAAGGGTTTCTAATTTCAAAGTTCAGTACTTTTAAACTTTATGATTGGATAACTAATTTCCTTAAGATGTCTAGAAACTGAAACAGCATCACCTATCCTAAATGGATGTTTGTTCAGTAACAAACACATTGAATGGTATGGGAACATCTCCCTTGGACAGTTCAAGGCAATAAAAAAAGATGCAAATCATCAAATACAAGACTTGTACTGTTATCTAAGTATTACACAGCTAGTAAAGCACCTTCCATAGGAGGACTTAAGTTGCTGGGCCATATTGATTAATTAACCCTGATACATGATTGTATGAAGTAAATATGTTCTCCCCATTTTATTCCATGCCTAACCTTCCTTCTCTGACCCTGAAAGGTGTTCCACTTAAATGAATAGCAATACTGTTGTAAAGGAGAAGAGAATTAATCAACTCTTACTTACATAAGAAATTGATCACAAAAAAATCCCCAACTTTGCCAGAATATTGATTCCAGTCCCACGCTTCAACCACAAGGTAATCTTTCCTATTGCTCTTTTACCAAATGCCCAGCTACTGAAATTGAAAGGGGGAGAGAGAATGGTGTCACACTTAATGCTTTTTTTTTTTAAAAGATGAGTATCAGCCTAGAGAAGTGATGAGACAAAGTGCAGTGGCGTTTCAAAGTGTTTTTTAACAAGTTGGACTTGCTGGTACTGTTCTGTTAGGTTTCAGTTGATTATTTTTATCCAGTGCAGCCCTACATGATTTCCTGGCTTGCCATACAGCAATTGTGGTTTTAAATACCAACATTTAATCATACACAGAGTGTGTCTGAATTATGGGATACTCAAAGATGAACGTCTGTGGTTGGTCAAAGTGTTTCTGAACACAAGTTGTCAATTAGCATCGGTGACACTGTTCTAAGTGACAGCAATGTAAGGAAATTATTAACGTTCTTAATTTGTTTTGTCGCATCTATTAATGACAAATATTTTATTTAACACAGAAAGTTAGGTTTGATGTCACCTGAATATTGTTCCCTTTCAGAATGATTATAAAACGTTTGAAGTAAATGAATGTCATTGCAATAGGATTTTTTTAATTCAGCAAAAGAAAAGCCCTGATACTAAAATGCTTTTGTGTTAAATCCATGAAATTCCATTTAGCTGCTGTACCATCTCCCTGCTGTTTGCCATCTTTCCTGAGAAATGCAAGGTACTTGGCACAAATAATTGCATGAGCATGCTAAAGATCAGGGACCAGACGAGCAGCAGCAGCAAACTTACATATGACCTGAGTAGTCCACCCTTCCCTCCCTCTGACACTTTAAAGGGACCACAGACCCTCCTCACATACTCTGGAGGTGAAGTGAGAGGGGAGTCCCTCACCCACTGGATGTAACATGCTGCTAATATCTCATTTTCCTGCTGTCAACCTGTAGGACAGTGTTAAACCCTACAGATGTATTTTTTGGTGGGGATGAGGTAGGAAGTAAGGGGAGATGTTAAGTGTAACATAGAATGTAGCATCTTCAAATAAGCCCTAGAAAATGGAGATTTAATGCCACTGAGCAATTTTAGGGATGCAAACACTCAAATCTTGCACCATGAGGAACCTAAATTCTAGCATTTCATTTGTGTGGCTAGTTACATAGGGGCTACGTCTACACTGGCCCCTTTTCCGGAAGGGGCATGTAAATTTCATGAGTCATAGTAGGGAAATGCGCGGGGGATTTAAATATCCCCCGCGGCATTTAAATAAAAATGTCCGCCGCTTTTTTCCGGCTTTTAAAAAAGCCGGAAAAGAGCGTCTACACTGGCCCCGATCCTCCGGAAAAAGTGCCCTTTGAAGTAGGAATAAGAGCCTCCGGAAAAGGGCACTTTTTCCGGAGGATCGGGGCCAGTGTAGACGCTCTTTTCCGGCTTTTTTAAAAGCCGGAAAAAAGCGGCGGACATTTTTATTTAAATGCCGCGGGGGATATTTAAATCCCCCGCGCATTTCCCTACTACGACTCATGAAATTTACATGCCCCTTCCGGAAAAGGGGCCAGTGTAGACGTAGCCAGGGTGTCTCCCTTACTCTGCTTACATGCAGGCTGCATACTTGGGAAGAATTAAGCTTGTGTCATCACTGAAACTATACTGTGAACATACCATCCCCAGGGTAAGTATTACACATACAAATGCTGCAGTATTTCATACATTTCTCTGATTTGTTAATGGTACTGCAGAAAAAGTGGCTCTCAAATATAAAAACATTTACTGTACTTCTCAAATTTCTCTCCAGTGTGAAACTATTTAATAAATGGTCAGGTGATCAGTCATGCTTAAACAAGTGTTCACTTCAAGCATTAGACTGTGGAAAAGATATTACAAAATAGTCTAATGTTCTGATCTGGTATTCTTTGTAGTTAGGTTATCAATAGGTGGCAATGATTTTAGATGAAGCTCAGTAATATAGCTGATTTTTAGAATGTAATTTTTTCTAGTTTTTTCCTATTTTTATCTGTTTTGGCAAATTGTTTCCTGATGAACTGTCACTGCTCTGGTTTTAGTTAAAGTTCCACATATTGGGCTAGACTGAAGTGTGGACCCATTAACTACAGTGTACATTTTCCCTCCTTTTCTTACTGTAGATTGACTTAATACAGCAGTAAATTCTATTTTCAAAAGGGGCTTGGCCCTGAGATCTACCTTGCAAACAGGAGGAAAGGAGCATCTCAAAACGCATGTAAGTACAGTTTTTCCATGTAAGCTTATCTGGAGAACACTCAATTCTAATAATGTTTTTTAAAAAAAGCTTTTGAAATTGACTAGCTCTCGCTAACACTTAGAAAATCCTGAGATGCACACACTACAGGGAGCCTCAGACCCCCTTCTGGGTTAATATTTAAGAAAAAAAAAAGGTCTTTTATCATTCATCCCAAATCACCATATTT